AGTATTAAACAAAAATAATTAATAATATCATATAACTAAAATTATATTTTTTATTATTAATATATCATATAATTATTTTATTATATTTTTAAAAATAATATAATATATTAACTCTACTTTTAAAATCAAAATTTTATTAGTTTGGGTGATTACACGTTAATATCTGTTTAAAATTTTGATAATCAATTAACAACGTTCACACATCCTGTAGACGTAGTTATTTGAACTCATGACCTCTAAAAAAATAATATTTCTTTTAATTATTGAGATAATTTAATATATTCTATATTATATAATTATTCGAGATGAAATTAAAAATAAAATATTAACGGACCTTAAAAGTCTATATGATAAAGTTTTTGTTAATGAGAGTGATGAAATTTAGTAGGCAGTGAGTGATATTCTAAAACATTGTCTGCCGACCTAATATTAATTTAACCACACAAAACAAAAAGGTCTTGATTGAGAGCCATGTCTTACTAGTTGAGCATGAACGGTTGGAGAAAAATGTTAATCACAATTTGATCAATTAATTAATTACTATCACTAAATTCAAGATTTAATCTAAAATATTTAGTCCATCTTTTGTTAAAAATTAATTCTAAAAGAAAAAATAGGGATAAAGTTAATGTAGAATTCATTACTTTTAGATACAAATTTATCGAGTAATGTTATTTTTAAGAGTATCAATTGCATCTATATAGTGTGTGTGCATTATCAATAAATTAAGAAAAATTATGAACATATACTAGCTTGGGATAATTGGGATTAAATAAAATTATTTAGTTTTCATAAAAATTTATATATATATATATATCGACAAAATTCGTTAGTTTTATTAAAAATAAAAAAAAAAAATTATAATAAATATTTACAGCCACAACCGTAAACTAAACACGTAATAAAGATATTTTTCTAAAAAATTAATTACTTAAGATCACACAATGACCATACAAGAAAAAAAAAGTTAACAAACCTAACTAAATAAACTCAAACAAAAAGTAAATATGAACATATATAATTGCATTGACAAACAAACCACACTATGTAGTTTTACTATTTAAATATAGAGAAAATAACATCATTGACCAAAAATACTTTATAATATATGATTTTAACCAACTTTTTTTGGATTTGCCAAAATGACCAACTAAATCGCAATGCGATCGATAATTCGCAACGCGATCTCCGGTATCGCAAATCAGTTTCCAGATTCGCAACGCGAACTTCGACTATCACATTGCGATTTACATATTCGCAATGCAATAGTCGAAGTTCGCGTTGCGATTTATTCCAAATTCGTTGCGATAGTCCAAAATCGCAACGACTGGTGGTATTGCATTTGTTTCTTAAGAATTTTCTCTAAAAAGATAGTATTCGCGCGGACGTGTCGAAGACACGTATTACCACGACCACGACCACGACCCAACCCGAGACGAGACGGACGACGGCGGCGGCGGCGCGCGAGAGTCCCCCTTGTTCTCTATCACTCAACAAGGAAGTGGGAAAGCCAAGCCTTAAATACCATTCCCAATAGTATTTCCAATATTATGTGGGATTGAGCATTACCAACACTTGTTTCCAATATAATGTGATTATTCAGGAAACAATTAACAATCATGCACCTTAAAACAACTGAATCAGCAACCAATTGCATTAGTATTATACGATTAAATATGTCATAATTAAAAGTCAATCTACAATCAATCGCGATTATTGCAATTTTAAGCAAAACATTCAAAAATAATATCACTATTTAAGGCTCAATCCCACATAGTATTGGGAACAAGTGTTGGTAATGTTCAATCCTACATAGTATTGGAAACACTATTAGGAATGGTATTTAAGGCTTGGCTTTTCTACTTTCTTGTTGAGTGATAGAGAACAAGGGGACTCTCGCGCGCAGCCGCCGTCCGTCTCGTCTCGGGTCGGGTCGTGGTCGTACGTGTCTTCGACACGTCCGCGCGAATACTATCTTTTTAGAGAAAATTCTTAAGAAACAAATGCAATACCACCAGTCGTTGCGATTTTGGACTATCGCAACGAATTTGGAATAAATCGCAATGCGAACTTCGACTATCGCATTGCGATAGTCGACTATCGCATTGCGATAGTCGACTATCGCAATGCGATTTACATATTCGCATTGCGACAGTCGACTATCGCATTGCGATTTACATATTCGCATTGCGATAGTCCAAGTTCGCATTGCGTTAGTTGAAGTTCGCGTTGCGATAGTCGACTATCGCATTGCGATTTACATATTCGCATTGCGATAGTCCAAGTTCGCATTGCGTTAGTCAAAGTTCGCGTTGCGAATCTGGAAACTGATTTGCGATACCGGAGATCGCATTGCGAATTATCGATCGCATTGCGATTTAGTTGGTCATTTTGGCAAATCCAAAAAAAGTTGGTTCAAATCGTATATTATAAGGCATTTTTGGTCAATGAGGTTATTTTCTCTTAAATATATTTTGATTGTTAATTCGATTACATTTTATATTCATTTTTAATTTTTTTTAGAATTATATTTGATTTCTTATATTTACAAATTAAAATAAAAATCCAACCAATCAATCAATATATATATAGGTTTACAATTTCTATAGTTAGGGATGGCAAAAAAACTCGAACCCGATGGAGAAAATCGAAAATCGAATTAAACGGGGACGGGGAAAAACCGTTTATGCTAAACGGAGACGGGGACGGGAATCCCCGCCCCGATTACCCGGCCCGATACCCGCCCCGATAAATATTAAAAATAATTATTATTATATATATAATATTAATAAATTAAAATTAAATTAAAATATATATATATAATATTTATATATTTAATTTAAATATATATATATATACCCGGCCCGATACCCGTTTAAATAACTGTTTATGCTAAACGGGGATACTCGTTTTCCCATGGTTTTATCCGATTACCCGATGGGGATCCCCGTTTAAATCCCCGCGGTTTTTTAAACGGGAACGGGTATGAATTTTTTAAACGGGGACGAGGACGAAAGACCAATATCCGGCCCGTTGTCATCCCTATCTATAGTTAGGTTTGGGGAATATCAATTTCTTAGTGGTTTTGGTGGGAAATCGAATTTCAATCAAGCATAAAGAAAGATATCCAATAGCTTGAGATAGATAATATTATCTTCTTTTTCTTATACGCCAATTTGAATTATCAAATATATATATTCATCAACAAGTGATCAATCTTCACTAATAATCACCTTAAGCTCATGACTATGATTTCATATGTCGAATAATAATCTTTCATTCTTTCAATAAAAGGGTTTTTTTTTCTTTAAGAAAAACTTTATCCTTCTTTAATAATTTCTCTTTACACTTCACAAATTATTATAACATTCAAATCTCTTAACATCATAACTAATAAATTATAGTTTAAATAAAAATGAAAATATCATAATCGAAATCTACGATCATCATTTTTATCTTTTTTTTTTGTTACAAGATAATATCTATTTGAATATATTTCGGTGGGTGTAATTTTAACTCCAATATGTACCTTTCCCCTCTTCAATTCATCATCCAATATAATTGAAGGCCATAAGTATTAATGTGGACATGAAACAGAAAAGAGAAAATGATTTTCATCATCACCATGCATCATATTCAAATTTAGTATTTTATTGATGTTGAATATTTATTATAATAATAAATATTTAGGTATATTTTAATATTACGAGAAAATTTGTGGATAGCCCAATTCGTGTATCAAATGTAAAAGCCTACTTGTTTATAACGGGCTTTTGAATGGGGATAGCAAAAAGACAGACCCTAAATCAAAAGTTGATGCCTATATCGTCTCTATTTCTATTTATTATAAAATTGAAAAGATAGTGGATTACGACCATTCGTTTTTATAGATTTGACTGAAAATTTATAAAATTGAAGATCGAAAATAATGTTGGTCGAACAATTTGGGAGAAACTTTTGTATTGGAGATGTTACTGTTTATGGGGGAAAACTTTTATATTCTCGATTTATTATAGTTTCTAAGAAAAAAAATAATGGGCTAATGAAAAATGATATTAGAATGATTTTAAACCATCTGATTGTATATTATGCATCCAATAAGTGAGATAAATAATTATAATAATAGCCCGTGAAAAGAGTGTCAATAGATTAAATATAAAGAATATTATGTCTTGAACAGTAAGAAACATTAATATTTTATTAGAAATATTAAAATTTAAAAATGATTATGTTATATATTATATTAGACATGTCTTTTTTGAAAAATAAATAATTTTAAAACATGTTAAATTTCAGGATCTAAAATTTTTTGATTCATCCAAAAGAAATCATAATACAATTTATTTTGATAAAAGAATAAGATAAAAATAATTATTTTCATTTAAATAAATATAATACACTCATTCACCAATGAGATTAGGTTTCCCTTAATTTTGTGTTTGAAAAAGAAAATTCCTCAAATAATTTACTTCATTGATTATTTTTCAAATTAAGATATTTGTTACAATAAATTTAGAAAATTCTAAGATTGTTATATATCTTCATTATTACTGACCAATTTTTCTTCTTCTATAAAACTGAAGATACATGAATTGTCATGTACCTTTCATCAAATAAAATGAAATCGCATTATAATCTTGGTATCTTATCTTTAATACTATAAAAATAATCCTAATTCAAAAAATAATATATCGGATATCTATGAAAAAATATTTTTTTCTCACTACACTGTATGGGCGAGGGAGTCCCTGATGCGGTAATGCCAGACCAGCCGACCTACTCATTTTGTCACTCGCTTATTTTATTTACACGTGTACTCCACGCTTCCCTAACGTGGCAATATTTTGAACGTACTATTTGCTACGTGTAAAACTATATACTTACGTATACATGCAATATAAAACCAGCCCTTACTCTATATATATATAGCACACCTTCCCTTTACTGTTTAAGCTCTTTCAAATCATTTTCTAAATCTTATTTTAACGGTACGAAACGGAATGGCTGATTTAATAGACGAACATGGCAACCCGATTCAACTCACCGACGAACACGGCAACCCTGTTCAACTCACCGACGAACACGGCAACCCGGTTTATGTCACCGGTGTTGCCACCAAGCATCCAGGAACTACGAGGACGCCATCGGGATTAATGGGACCTGACACTGGCTTTGCCGCAGACCACCCGCAACAGAAGCTGCAGCGTCAACAGAAGCAGCAGCAGCCCCTGCATTGGGGGGTTTCCAGCGGCGGAGAAAAGATTCACCGCTCCAACAGCTCGAGCTCGAGCTCGGTAATGAAGATAGACAAACCGACTTTTATTTTACTGAATTTATATTTATAGTATGTTAAAGTTTTAACTGTGGTTGTATTCTTCCCTATGGACGGCTTTATAGTCGGAGGATGATGGGAAGGGTGGAAGAAGGAAGAAAGGGTTGAAGGAGAAAGTAAAGGAGAAGCTATCAGGTGGGAAGTTTCCGGAGGAGGAGCAATCGGGAACCAGAACTGAGGCCATAAAAACCACCACATTGGGCCAGCACCACCAGCACGACGGCGATGGGAACGAGAAAAAGGGTATAATAGAGAAAATAAAAGAGAAACTACCCGGTCATCATGGTCATAAGCATTAAAAAGTTGCTGTGTGAAATAAAAAAAAAATTCTACCGTTGATTTTATTTTTTGCATGTAGTGTTCTGTAATAATGGGGACTTATGCGTTCTTTTTGTATCAAATCTTTGAGATTTGAACTCTTGTTAAGGATTTATTTTGTTTCAGTGAATAGACTTTCTATGTCTAAATACCTAAATATAATATATGGATAGATTGAATTTTGGTTCAATTTAAATTTTTTAATTTGAGTTATAGTTTAAACTGACTTCAAATCTATAAAGTTTAAATAATGAAAACTTAAAACGATTTGGTATTTTGTTTTCATTTTAAGTTCGTTTTTATTAAATTTAAGTTACATACTCTTTAACTACAAATCTCTTTTTTTCTATAATTTAATTTTTTATAATTTTATTTTATTTTATTTAGTCTCATGATTGCAATTGTTTATTATTTTTCTTACTATCAATTATATATTTTATTTTATTTTATTTTCTAATTACAATTCTTTATTGATTTTTATTACCATCAATTCTTTGTTCCTTTATATTTTTAATTATTATTTTATCTAAAGAAGTATTTTTTAAAAAATATTATAAATATATAATGTAATTTCAGATTTTATTTTTTTAGTCGTTTATGTTTTTATAAATTTAATAAATAAAATTTAAAAAACTTGATTTATTTAAAAAAATTATTTGACTCAATCAAATATTTATTTTTGAATATAAATAGAACATGTAGGTATATAAAATATCATCTTTTTAATATAAAGAATTGGATATATTAATTAAATGATGGCTATTTGCCGACATCAAAGTCTATATGATATTCTACAATTTGGTCAAGTTTTAAACCATTTTTACCTGTGTGTATCTCTGTTTATCATAGTATTGGCTTCTCTTATGTTTTGGCTCTTTTCCATACTATAACAACGCCGGAAAGATCTGATGAAGCCAACAAATTCTCCCCGTGGTTCCAGGCTACATCTATGACCGGAAAACTATGACCCTGCATACAACAATGGTTTATGGGGTAATCAACAATTGTTTACCAAAGTTGGTCGGAAACATCGACGTTACCTGAAGCTTGTTTACACTTTTATGCTTCGGCCGAGTTAAGTCGTAGAAGTCGACGTTGGAATCCTCGCTCCCGACGACTTCGCGGCAAAAAGAAATCACAATGTCAGCAAAGATGCAGATAAAGCATCAGGAGCCAGTGCTTCTGGGCGGCGATTACATACCTATATATTCTCCCTTGTCAACGGAAATCAGAGGGCAGAAGGATGCTCGTGTGCTGTGAACCCTCGAACTTAATTTGAGCGAGCAGCGCAGGGTCAGGTAGCCTTGTGATTCCAAGGCAACACTGAAATACGGACATGCAGATCAGATCATTAAGTCATTCGCGGCGGTAATGACTACGACGGTCGGAACTAACCTGAAGAACAAGATAACTCCATCTTGAGTGCATGTCAATAACACAGGACCCTTTGTCATCGAAGAGAAACTTCGGTACTGCACGGTCGTAACCGGATACTTTGGTTTGTTTTTGTTGCTACTCCGATATCGATAAGAACGCGACAATGTACCTGTGCGGGAGTCCATACTTACAGAGTATACGCATCCCTACCAAATATCATTCCGTAAGAAACTTTTTGAAACACCAACAAAATTTCTTTGATTACCCTGGATTATGACATAGATACATAAGAGATACCTGTGCGTCTCCACAGAAAATGAACTGACCGGCATGATCATGGTCCATTGCAGTAACCTCGCTGTCGAAACTCAATTTGGTGATTACCCTACCAATGCTGAAATTGAAGACCTGGGGTACAGAAAAAAAGTGCCACCAATTAAAACCTGGACTTGATTGAAGTGAATAAGACCATACATACACCAAAGTATGCTCCTTAAGTTTTGACTAGAGATGATCAAAGGCATGGAGGCGTGCTTACAGTGAGCTCTTTATTTACATTGCCAACTGAAAGAAAGTTGTTGTTTACCTGCAGATTATATAAAACAAAGAAGAATACCATGAATAAGTTACTTGACATGAAATGTATGTATTATAATCGCTGATATGTACTTACAGGATGAAATCTAATACACAATTTTGGAGAGACTCCATATATTACTCGAATGCAAACGCCTTTTGATATATCCCATACTCGCACAGTTTTGTCCTTTGATGATGATGCAATGTATTGATTGTTTGATGAGAAATCAAAATCTGATAACACAGTGGCAAATCATAAACATGGTTAATAAACAGGTGACACAATGAATCGGAGTTATCAAAATAAAATTCAATCTTAGTTACTGAAACTAGAAATTTAATGACGCTAACGTATAATAGGTAATTAGCATCCACTTCTCAGACCATTTTTTCTCCTAGGTGAAAAATGGTTCCTATCAATTACAGATGATCTGCAGTTCTGAATCAACTCTGTCCAAAATTATTTCTCTGAAAAATAAGATTTAAAAGTGTTCCTACTTGATATATTGCATGGTACATATTCCTACCTAGAAAATTTTGCTCCGACTTTCACATCAATTTCTGAACTGCAATCTAGTTATTCTACCATGCCAACCTTCACAAACAGTGTCAAATATATTCCCGGTCGTAATATCTAACTGATTCAGCTTAAACTGTGAAAACTCCTTTACAATCAGGGATGGACACGAGATTTTATGCTAGGGAGAGCAAACTTATAATATTTTAAGGGGGCGAACTTAAAAATTTTTAGGAAGACAAAACAGATTATCAATAGAAAATACAAAAAAAAATCTAAAATATATGACAATTCAAAATTTTCAGGGGCGCCCGGTCCATCATTGTTTACAATATGCAGTTGAAGTGGCTACCTTGCTAACCTACAGTTTCAGCTAAAACTGTAAAAGATGCTTTACAATATGGAGTAAAAGTGAGCTACCTTCTTGATCTAGTCCAATTCCACTTAAAACTTCAAAAAGCAAATCACATGTGAACAAGATCGTGATCTCAGTAAAAGAAAGAAAATAGCAGATAGCATGTCTAAGTTATAAGAAAGACAACTGAAACAATACCAGGTAATCCAACCTGTGACATCTTTTGAATGCCCGCTTAATTGCTTGATAACTGAAGGTGGCTCAGAGACATTGCAAACTACCAGAGTCCCATCCGATGCCCCATATGCGAGTACATCAGAACTCATGTGCCCAAACTTCAAAACTGTAGCTGCTTATAGACCAATCATATTGCTTCGTTTTAGAAAGACTGAAATAACACTGCTCAAAAAAGCATGTCAAAGATAAAAGAATTCCAGATTGCATTTAAACATTATAAAAAGGTACCAGCTGCTTTTCCCTGATCAAATATGCAGTGCATTCCTACAAAAGAATATGCAAGTTCAACTGCTTGTTGACGTGGGCGATCACTGTCACTTATTCTAGAGCTGAGACTTGTTCTTTGATTTGAAGCAGCAGGGACACTACCTTTATCCTGCAGGAATGGAAAAGCATGCAACTCATCTTAATTCTTTAAAAGGCATGTTTAAGTGAAGTTTTGAATCTTACAATAACAGCATCATAGTAGAAAAGAAAAGGTTTTCAAGCCATTGACATGCTAGGATCTCGTGTTCTTTCATCTTCATCATCAAGAACATGATGAGTTAAGGCACATCGTGCAAATAAACAATGTAACTACAATCTACACGCCAATAACTGATTGAGAACAAAAGATCATGGTAAAATTTGTAATCAGTACATACTTTGCTAGAGTTGGTCCAGTTTTCCAACTCAAACAAATGCGAGAATGAACTTGAAGCTGATAACCATCTTCCACTGCATCAACCAGTAAATTACCCTGATGTCAGAATCGTATAACACTCGCAAAATAGTAGTTCATTGTTCATAAAACACCCTTAATTAGCCACTACAAAATTCATCCACTGCCAAACGTTCAATCTAACTAATTCAATTGATAGCCTCAATTCTTGAAGGGCATAAATAAATAAAAACTAAAAAAGGGAGAGCAATTTTATGGATAAATTCCAGTACCTATTTCCAGCAGTGCTTGTGCGGCTTGGTGTGTGTAACTTTTCCCAGTTTCTTGGCCTACGCATGAAATTCCGGTACGCCACATAACCTTTTCCATTACATCTCCAATCCTTCACATTATTCAGCAAAGCAAGCCAAGTTTCATTTCAAAAAAAGAACATGAAAATGGAATATTAGTAGCTCAAAATCATTTTCTCTAACAATCAGAACACAGATCCACATAACTAAAAAACATAACAGAATTAACAGAAACACGGAACTTACAAGTCGGCGATAACAACCGGACTCCGCTTTACGAGATAGAAGAATTCGGCGAATGCCGATGTAATCGGTACCGGAATCACCGGAATCGGAAGCGACCGGTTGGAGCACGCAACAGAAAGCCTCCGGATCCATCGCACTTGCTTTCTTTCTAGTGGCTCCATTAGTATCGTTATCGTTGCCGTTTATACAATTCTTATTGCTTTCATTTCTGGCAGCTCCTCCTTCCTTGGAGCAGTTGTTGGTGATTTCACCTCCCGCCATTGTATTAGAATCTAGTTGTGTCCGCTTCATCAGAGACCGTTCACCGGAAAATCAACGGGCGCCGTCGATTTAAATTTGAACGTGGAATCGAATGACAAAGACAGATTCCGGCACTTGGTACGTTGAAAAGGACGGATTCAGCATTTGGAAATGGATCTGAATTCTGGAATCAAGTGAACCTTTTCAATTGTTTGAACTTTACACACCCGCCAAAAATGGATCTTTCTTCTTTATGATGATCAAGGACAGGCCTCAAATGACTGACTACCAATCATGGTTTAAATACCAAATAAGATTTGAAGGTTCCCATGAAGTATAAACTAATTATTTCTTTCTCTCTTTGGGTAAATATACATTTTCATAATTAAAATTGGCTCCAACGTACGATTTGGTACCTAGACTTGGCCTCAAGGTTCAATTTGCTACCTAAACTTGTCCATTTAGGTACTTGAAGTTGACTTTTATGTTTGAATCGGCACCTGAACTTGGTTTTATGATTCAATTTGATTTAAATTGATACCTAAATTTGGTTTCATGATTTAATTTGATACAAATAAATCATTTATCATAAATATCAATTTGAACCAAAAAGTGATTTTCATGTATCAATTTAAACCAATAAGTTAAATTTAAATAATTAATTAGACCACAAAATCTAGGTATTTGATTGAAAAAAACCAGATATTAAATTATACTTTGACACCAAGTACAAATAACAAATATTATATGAGTTCGAACAACTACGTCTATAAAGTGTGTATTTCAACAAATATTGTCTTGTAACGAACACAGATTATTCAAAAATAATAATAATAATAATTTTTTAATTTGACTATTAATTTATAATTAGAACATATTATTAATAATTTTTAAATTTTTTTTTGAAAAGATAAAAAAGAATAGACTTATCTTTCTCAACTAACTTGTCACAAATATCACCAGCCACCACATTGTTGAGGAAGGCTAAGTTTTTTTTTTTAATTAAAAAAATTATTTGAAGGCTGATGTTTTAGCTACTAATTTAAGGGTGATACTAAATTGTTACTGTATAGAATTTAAGACCTACTTAAACAATATCAAACAACTTACCACTTGAATCAATTTATGTTGGTAATTGTTACTACTTATTAGTGCATCACGTTATTAATATATTATATGTATTCTTTAAAATTTGAACCGTATTCTTCTGAGAACCCTAGGCCCTTTGTCCAGTAGGTACCTTGAAACACAAGGGAGCAGCCTCAATGAATTTTAACCTATTTGTAATGGAAATAGCTTCTGAAATTTTATCCACGGTGTTTATTGGAAAGTGAAACCAGTTTTCTTGGTGGATAGGGATGGATCGAAAGGAGTTAAATAAAAATGGACATTCTAAAAAAATTAAATTAATATGTATTTTAAATATTTTTTATTTTCAATTAATAATATATTTTCACCCAAGTTTACTTTCTTAAAATTTTAGTAGTTCTTAATATAAAATTCTACATTGTTTCTGCCATGATACACTATTCGGTATCCATCGTGTAATTTGTCGTGCTATTTATCAAAATCAATAAAGTTAGGGTATCCATCGTGTAATTTGTCGTGCTATTATCAAAATCAATAGAGTTAAGGTATCCATCGTGTAATTTGTCGTGCTATTTATCAAAATCAATAGAGTTAGAAGATGATAATTTGATTCGAATATGAGCATATAAAAGCGGTTTAAGATAGGATTATATGAGCATATAAAAGCGGTTTAAGATGCTTGATGAACCTACATAAGCATGTAAATAAAAGGTCATTCATTTCCTTAAAAGTTCTCCGGATCATCAACATTCAACCAATCAAAATACCGAAAGCAGAAAGCAGAAAGCAGAAAGCAGAAAGCAGAAAGAGAATGAGGTACTATCAACAAACAGATCGAGTCAGTCAAATCAGATTAAACTAATTCCCAATGGGACAGACCATCTTCTTTGATGAAAACAAATTCTTCTGGATCTTCTTCCACGGCAGGTAAAACAACAACATATGACTTGCTCTGCTTCTCCATTTGTTACCCTCCGTGCTTTTTCGGGATTTCAGAGATTTTTTTTTTCAAATGGTAATTTGGTAGCTTGGAAGAAGGTTTTCTGAAGTTTCTCTTTAAGTAATGGTTGCGGATCACGAGAATATTCGTCCACGTCTTTTCAACCAATAAAGATACGCCACGTGTAAAACCCAACTTACTTAACTTCTGAGCTGAGCCTAAACTTTGTTTATAACCATTCTTGTTAATCATCGAAAATGCATGCATCCTATAAACGAGTTGTTTGAACAGAGTACTTTAAGTGAAAATTTTAACTATTGAGTCATTCAATGGGTAAACTTCAACTTCCTCACCTACAACATTTTTAAAAATATTATCAGTACAAGTCGAATCTGATGTATGAATCTCATTTTAAATTATTTAATGAATACATGTTTAGAAGATTGTATTTAAATATTAAAAAAAACGATATCCAATCAATGTGAGATTTAATAATAATGTCCGTAAAATTTAAAAAAAATGCAATTACTTGTGTAAGTCTCACTCCTCAACAAATTGAAAAGTATAATTAAACGTTTTCAATTAAAATTAATTGAATAAAACTCATAAATTATTATTATTATTATTATTCAACAGATAACTTTCAATTATATTTGATTAAATTTAATAAAATCTATAAATTGCCATAATTATTCACACACATTTTAAATTATGAATATCATAAAAGTTTATCTTTACAAAGTATATATTTAATTCAAGCTCATAATATTGTTCGAATAATCATAAATTTTATTCTCTTCAAATCAACTTGATATAAAACTCATCCAAACGAATAAGAACACTCCAAAGATATCATGAAGTGGAAGAGTCCAAGATTGCTCATCGACTATCAGCATGGGAGAAGTACTGAAACTATATAATAATAATAACAATAATGAGAGTGCATTACATAAGGATTTTTTTCGTCGTGTAAAAATTATTATTTTAGAAATAATTTCATTTGGATATGTGTTTTTTTCGAAAATAGATATCATTCATTAAAGGTTAATACAGTCTTTTAGATCGCGTACATTCGAAGTGAGAAAATGGAATATGCTTGTGTTACACTCTTCGACAAAATTATTCCGAGAAGAAAATAATCGAATCATCAGATTGTGTATGTCATTAGCGGAAAAAAACTATATATTTTATAAAAGTATTAGATGGGTAAAATTATCAAATAATAATTATCCACTTCAATCACTAATTAAATGTGGATAACCAACTCCCTATAATTAATCTCCATTATTTACATTACTTATATTTTGTATACACGTGATATAAAATTGAAGTTTACGTAATCTTATATATATTGAATTCCAATACTGAAAATTCTAAATTCTAAATTTTAAATCATTAAATTCTAAAATTTAAATTTTAAATTTAAACTCTAACTAAAATTTGTGATATTAAAATAAATAAAATTTTACAATCTATTTATCAGATAACCTTTTTAATAATAATAATTCAAAAGTATAAGTTCTCTTTTGTCTACCTTATCTCCAGTGACAAGTTGCGTAATCCCCATATGTTTTTGGTGGAGCTTTTAATATCATTAGAACATCACCCACACCCAACTCTGAAAAAGTTTTATTTGTCTCCTTGGTATGTCCCAATTTCTTTTATCAAAATTTTTAAAGAAGTTTAATTTTTATAAAATTAAAAAAAATGATGATGGGAAAATGAGTTTTTTTAAGATAAAATTAATAAAAAAATATTTGTTTAAAGATTAAATATATTATAACAGTTATAAATAGTTGATTTATTTTGATTTGAATGAAGAGTCATCGTAATTGAAGAATTGATCGTTGACTAGTGTCAATATTCTCTATCTCTATAAGGAGATAGAGAAATAAACGAGGATCAAGTGGTTTTATCTAGGTCACCCTCATTCTCTTGATATTGGTCGAGAAGTTTTATAATAAGTTTTGAAGTTGGTGCTAAGTGTAGGATTATTATGGCTACATGTAGATTCATCAACTAGATAGATATAATCAGCTAGTGATGAATTTAGTTATGGTAGGTCTCGTGAACCTATCACAAGTCATGTCAATAAATCTCAGTTTTCCAAGCTTTTAGATCTCTAATATTCTTCTTTCTGAGACGTTTCTTTTATATCTTCTAAAATTCCCTAAATATCATAGGTTCGAAATTATTTTTTAATCATTCAAAAATCCTTTGATACGAAATTGATGTGCAGAAGATATTTTAACGAAAGTACAATAATATTCAGTTTAATATATTTAATATATATTTAATATGTAAAAGGAAATACAATAATTTTATTTTTTTAATGTTCATATCCTTTATCAACTTGACTTTCATTATCTTTAGAGTTAGATTTATCTTAATTTTTCTTTTTTAATCAAATTACTTTGGCATCAATGGAAATGATGTTCATACTTTTAAAGGAAATTACGAAGTTAATGTTTATATTATTTTAATTGATTTGGGTTATTTTTAATTCAGATGATTTTTTATTTAGGTTAAATTAGGTAGAGATTTATATTGATCAAATTAAAATTCATTTTAGTTTAGTTTAGTTTGATTTATCAGATCGTCATATCATATTTATGTTGAATCTTAGATCAATAAATCAATTTAAATGATCAGATACGAATCCAATTTGTAATGTCTAAATGATTTATACCTTTATCAAAGGTTAGATTCTACAAAAATTCCAGAGGTTTCCTCAAAGGTCAGATATTAGATATAGATATACAGATAGAGTTAGAAGAACTTCGCCTTATTACATAATTTATAGCTGTTCATCCAATGGGGCTGCCAATACCTCAATTATACCTTTTTGTTTGTATTTATTCCCTTTTTATTTCTTGGTTTTCCACTTACATGAGTTGTACACATCAATGGCCTTAAATAGCAAACCAAATGTAGAAAAAGATCGAAAGGTAATAGCTATGAAGATTTGGTGTGATGTGTGCTGCAAACAAGA